CGTACAGATGTGGTCTCCTCATCTCAAAAAAGATATACTGGCATTAGAAAAGGTTCAGAGAAGGGCAACTGAAATGATTAGGGGTTTGGAATGAGTCTGGATAGAATTTGGGACTTGGCTACCTGATTATCTACCCTTCTGAAGATAATCTCCGTTGACGTGTACAGGGAGGACTGTGCATTCTGAATGAAGGGTCCCAAACTGGGGAATCTGCTTTCAGTGCATGAAGCAAGGCTCCTTGTTTCAGCCATACCTTTGCCAGATATATCTAAAAACAGAGGTTCTCAGACTTTTTTAATAATATGGACCATAATTTACTAGACAAAGAATCTTCTGGACACACCACTCCCATTCCCAATTGCACAAATCCACTTCGTTTCTTTGCCACATGGATGCTGTGGGATTGAGAGGCTATGATGGCAATTTTTATGGGCAGTTAGGGTGGCTCCTCCTCATTTTGACCTGCTTCTAATCAGCATCAGTGACCAACAGCATATGCTCTGCAGACCACAGTTTAGAACTACTGGTCTAAACCAAGGCATTTTCTTTCTCTGTTCTTGTTTCTTGGATGGTTAATAGAGTGAAGGATCTGCTGCCAACTGTGGGCAATTCTAAATAGATGTTTGCATCCTAGCATGTCACACAGTGGCAGTGGGCACACTATAAACTATTAAAATAAAAATAAAACAATTCAGGTACAGGGTTTATACACAAGAGACCTTCTCAACATTTCCTTTAACTGCACTCACTCAAAGCCAAACTTCCATTCTATTCTTTGAGGACTGTCTCCTCTCAAGCTCTGGGGATACTTCACTGGGAGAAAGCCCTAACACTGGCTCTAGGATCCCAGACCCTGAGAGGAAGTGGGGAAGGAGGAAAGAGAATATTAGTTAATCTGATCAGGTAATTTCTAGGGCTGTCGATGAATTGCAGTAAACTCATGCAATTAACTAAAAAAAAATTAATCGTGATTAATTGCACACTTAAACAATAGAATACCAATTAAAGTTTATAAATATTTTGGATGTTTTCTACATTTTCAAATATATTTATTTCTATTGCAACACAAAATACAAAGTGTACAGTGCTCACTTTATATTATTTTTTATTACAAATACTTGCACTGTAAAAATGATAAACAAAAAAAATTATTTTTCAATTCACCTTATACAAGTACTACAGTGCAATCTCTATTGTGAAACTGTAACTTACAAATGTACATTTTTTTGTTACATAACTGCACTCAAAAACAAAACAATGTAAAACTTTAGAGCCTACAAGTCCACTCAGTCCTATTTCTTGTTCAGCCAATTGTTAAGACAAATAAGTTTGTTTAGATTTACGGGCGATACTGCTGCTGGCTTCTTATTTAAAATGTCACCTGAAAGTGAGAACAGGTGTTCGCATGGCACTTTTGTAGCCGGCGTTGCAAGGTATTTATGTGCCAGGTATGCTAAACATTTGTATGCCCCTTCATGTTTCGGCCACCATTCCAGATGTCAACGCTGATCATGCTTGTTAAAAAAATAATGCATTAATTAAATTTGTGACTGAACTCCTTGGGGTAGAACTGTAGGTCTCCTGCTCTGTTTTACCCACATGCTGCCATATATTTCATATTATAGCAGCCTCGGATGATGACCCAGCACATGTTCGTTTTAAGAATACTTTCACAGCAGCTTTGACAAAACGCTAAGAAGATACCAGTGTGAGATTTCTCAAAATAGCTACAGCACTCGACCCAAGGCTTAAGATTCTGAAGTGCCTTCCAAATCTAAGAGGGACGAGTTGTAAAGCATGCTTTCAGAAATCTTAAAAGAGCAACACTCCGATGCGAAAACTATAGAACCCGAACCACCAAAAAAGAAAATCAACCTTCTGCTGGTGGCATCTGACTCGATAATGAAAATGAACACCTGTCGGTCCGCACTGCTTTGAATGGTTATTGAGCAGAACCGATCATCAGCATGGATGCATGTCCACTCGAATGGTAGTTGAAGCATGAAGGGACATATGAATCTTTAGCACATCTGGCACATAAATATCTTGTGACGCCGGCTACAACAGTGCTATCAGAACACCTGTTCTCTCTTTCAGGTAACATTGTAAATAAGAGGCAGGCAGCATTATCTCCTGAAAATGTAAACAAACTTGTTTGTCTGAGTGATTGGCTGAACAAGCAGTAGGACTGAGTGGACTTTGCAGGCTCTAAAATTTTTCATTGTTTTATTTTTGGATTCAAGTTTTTTTGTACTCAATTCTACATTTATAAGTTCAACTTTCATGATAAAGAAATTGCATTACAGTATTTGTATTTGGTGAATTGAAAAATACTTTTTTTTTTTTTACAGTGCAAATACTTGTAATCAAAAATAAATATAAAGTGAGCACCGTACACTTTGTATTCTGTGTTGTAATTTAAATCAATATATTTGAAAACGTAGAAAACATCCAAAAATATTTAAATAAGTGGTATTCAATTATTGTTTAATAGCACAATTAATCATGCGATTAATTGCGATTAATTTTTTTAATTGTGCAATTAATCAAGATAAAAAATTGTAATTGCTTGACAGCCCTCGTAATTTTTTGCTTCCACAAGATGGTGCAGATTGGTACCTGACAGGTTCATGTCTTTAACTAAGAGCTGTGAAAAAACCTAGAATGGATAGACTGTACCTTAGAGTCAGACCCTAGGGTGAGAACTGACATACTGGCTTTAAGTCCAACTTTCTACAAGATGCAGAAGGGACTACAATATACTATTTTCCATAATCTCCTTCTCATTAATGTGTTACAGCTAAGTGTATGCACACACAAATCAGGGCATTCAAAATTAATTCACATTGTTAACTTGGCCTCTATTCACATAATGCACATAGTGTTTTGCATGACTGTACAGTATATGGAGATAATTTTAATGGCTTAATAGGTCTATGCAATGCTGGGACCATAACTTTTGCTTTCCTAACTGTTGAATTTAATGATAGATCTATTAACAGCTTTCAACATGGTTTATTATGACATGTAGCCTCCAGCCTGCAGGATCTGTCAGGGTGGTTGGTGGTACTAAGCTGGTTTTCATTATTTTTCTTCTTCCATGAGGGCACTGGCTGCCAAACCACTTTCAGTCACAATTCAAGATCTTTTTCATTATCTACAAATCCCTAAATGGTCTAGGACTCAGCTCCCCACAGAACTCTTCTTTATGACTCCACTGTAGTAGCTGCAATTGGTGTGGATCCTGGCTTACAGCCCCCAGTGAGGAATTTGGCTCATTTTATTAAAACATGAGACATTTCCCTCTGTAGCTGTATTGGCTCTACAGAGAAATATCAGACAGGTGACTCAAATGCATGGGTAGCAGATATCCCGAATGAAAGGCCACTTTTACAAGTCACCTTTCTTACAATAGCACTTTCTACATTTTATCCATTTAATTTCTTTCTTATAAGAAAATAATTTAAATTAAAAGTCTCAGAGAATGTTCTATCAATTCAATATATGCAATAGTGTTTATTTCAGCATGTGATGCTTCAGACACATCCCTACTTTCAAGAAAATCTGGAGTTCCCTGCCTCTCTGCTCATGAAGGAAGACAAACATTTACTCAAAAACATGCCCATCAGCGGTAGGGTGGATCCTGAGAGCACATCGCAACTTCCAGGGAACCATTGCTAACTAAACTCCAAGGAGAACATCCTCGCATGCAGATTTGTAACTGCAGGGCTGGGTACCTCATAATCCCTCTCTCTCCTGTGCAGTGGTGAGTAACTCAGGACTACTCTTCACAAAGGAGGCAGATATGTCAGCAGCCTTTTGGCTTCCTTCACTACTAGATCACCACTGCCTCTCCTCTATTTTGGTATTGAACCTGCCTTCAGGTGAAACACTCACCTCCCATTGGGTGGAGACTGCTCAATGTGTTCAGGTTCCCAGATGAGGCAGCTGCTGTCTGCTGAAGGAGCTGCAAATAAAGCTAGACATTACACCAAAAAACAAAATAAGAGTGAGAGTGAGGGCTGGCTCTGCTTCTGGGAGAAACTGCACCACACCACAGCCAGAGCGCCGCCATAAGGGGAATTCCCATTGCCCATGCATCATGCTATAGCCAAAGCACCAGCATAAGAAGAATTCCTCACATTCACTACAGCCAGAGCACCGTCACAATGGGAATCCCCAATTCACGCACCACGCCATAGCCAAAGAGCTTTCCTTATGATGATTTCTCCATACACTATGGGCAGAGTACTGGCACAAAAGGAATCCACATCATCCATGCACCCAGTCCAAAAGACTGGCATGGGTGTGTGTGCGTGTGTGTGTGTGCGTGTGTGTGTAAGGAGAATCCTCCTTAAATACCACAGCCAGAGTGCCACCGCTAAGGGAATCCCCCCTCATGCCCCATACTACAGCTAGAGTGCTAGCACAGTGTGATTGCCAACCACACAAAGACATTACACTGAAGCCAGAGTGCCAGGGTGTGGGGAATGCCCTCCACATTCTTCAGCTACAGCAAGAGGACCATCATGAGAGGAATCCCCATCATGTACTGACTGAGCCACAGCCAGCATGCCATTTAGGGGGAATTCCTGCCCTTTTCTCCATAGCTAGAGTGCTGTCACAAAGAAACCCCACTCCAACAAATCCAAAGCAATAGCATAAAGGGAAATTTCCCCCACCTCCTGCAATACATCACAGCCAGAACGAGGTGAAAATTTCACCCTTCTCTACCCCCCACACTGTAACCACATGAGGAGAATCCCCCAACCCCCTTGAAGTCCCACACAAGAGCCAGAGCAGTGATGTGAGAGACATTCCTCCCCTTTGAACCCAGCAAAGCCAAACAACTGAGAAAATTGGTGACAATAAGCTTGAAGAATAATTTAGTTTGTCATTTTTTGTTATAAAACGCTATATATGCTGAACCACTATTCACTACATCTAGTCTCTGCCTGCCTGTTTGTTGGGGTTTTAAATTGTGAGCTCCTTGGGTAAGGATCAGATTCTTTTCTGTTTGTACAGCACCTAAGACATTTGTGGGTGTCACTGGAAATAAATAATAAGAGTAATGTAATAAATGCTGGAGAAGAAAGAATGGGAGATGAATACAACAACTTTGATGGCAGACAGAACTGAAAAGGGGCTTGAAATTACATACATGTAAAGTACTCAAGAGAAGCTAACCTAAGGAGAAAATCTTCCCAGCAAGTGACTTTGGGCAAGTTACAGTATCTCTATGCCTCAGCTCCCCATCTGTAAAATGGGGAATAACATTACTTCCCTCACAGGAATGTAGTGAATATAAATACATTGAAGATTGTGACATGCTCAAATAGGACGGTGAGGAGGCCTATATAAGCATCTTAGATAGGCAGATTGGTAGAACCCACACAGGAAACTCACTGCTAAGTATTGGGGTCCAAGTGTGTTCAGACCAGCCAGGTTTCCCCATACAGAGGCAGCGCTTATCTGTTGCATCTGCTGCTGGAGTTGCTGAGCAATACGTTTCTGCTCTTTGTCCTTCTGCGTATCTGCAAATTTCACCACGATGGGAGAAGAGCAACCCTGCAAATAGCAGTTCAAATGGTTACAGCCTCCCAAGCAACTGCATAAATATGGCACAAACCTATGCGAATGGCGTGCTCTCCCCCCGTACATATGAAGTTGCCCTTCCTACCTCAAATGTTCAAAATCTCAGCTGCTTTTCATTCTAGTTTGTATTGACTTTTACTATTTGCTAAAATATTTAATAAATCTTTCAGTCCAAGACCCACTGTCAGGAAAACTCTAACTCCAAAGATCCCCTCTCCCCCCACCCATCAAGCTTTATGATCTCTGTGTGGTGCAGCCTATCCCCAACACCTCCAAAAAGGTTTATCTTACCTCCATGGTCTGTGCTTGGTGCATTGCTTTGATTGCTGTTTGTGCCATGGCTCTTGTTGTAAAAGTCACAAATGCACAACCTGGGGAGAGGGCAGAAAGAATCAAACTCATCCCCAGATTCATCTCAACAACTGAAGGCAAACAAAGGAAAATGCCCCCAGGGCTGAAGCACCCTACCAATCACAGATATAGCTGAAATCTGATCTTGAGGTGCAGGGGAAAGAGTCCAGAGGAAAATCTTGAACTGTCAGGGATGCTTTGTGCTTACCTCGGCTCAGGCCATCTGGGCCCCGTAATATCCTGCATTCCTCAATCTGCCCAAAGGAGGAGAACATCACCCGGATGTCATTTTCATTGCACTTCTTGGAGATCATCCCAATAAACAGCTTTCTATCTTCCACTGCTGAGGAATCAAAGGAAAGAAGCCTTGACATTACAGTAACATAGCACTCACATCAAGCAGGGAACTTCAGAGCTCTCATGGTTTCAGTAAGCCTTCTTCATATTACCCAGCTACTCTAGTGGTTGAAATCAGAGGCTGAAGGAGCAGTGTTCCTGCAATAAGAGATACTCAGGGTGATAAAGCACTGAGTATCAACTCAGAGAAAGAGAGGTTAAAGGGATCAGCAATTAGATTGAGGAAGACTATGGGTTCTAATTTAGTCAAACCCCTCTCCCCCTCACTTGGCAGTGCGGGATTGTTCCCTGCTGTAGAAATCTCTAGGGATTTGTCCAGTCAAACTCCCACCTATTCCAAGTAATGAGATTTTACTCATTTAAGAGAATGCACATAGAACATTTCTAGTGAAGCTGAAAGGAGCCTACAAGTGTTTTATATTTTAATTACATTAATAAATAAGAATGTGCTGAATGCTTGTTCCTCCCTTCCAAGCCTTTTGAATGTGGGGGATTGAACTGAACTCTTCCTACAGAGAGAGCTTGGTTGAAGGGGATATAGATGTATTCGCTCATTCTGCCATGCTCGCTACTGGTCTTGGGTGGTTCTGCAGTGCCTGCCATGGAACTTCTCAATACAAGTCACATATTAGCACTCTTTCCCAAGCACTAGTTTGTTAACATGAGAACTTAAAAACAGTCTTTCTTCCCAGACTCTTGCTGGTGTCACAGTTCCACCTCTCTGAGGTCTGGCTATTTTACAGTTTCTACTCGGGGGAAATCTGCGTCACTGTGTTTGCGCAGAATTCATGGCCCTTGCAGATTTCTTTGTTTCCCTGCAGAAAAATGACATCTGATGGGGAAGCAAAGGGAAGCCACAAGAGCAGTCATGCACTCCCTCCCTGGCAGTGCAAGCAGGTTGGTTTGAGCACCCAGAGCAGACAGTGGAGACGTAAATTACCACAGGGTTGGGCAGTCGTGTGTGTGAGAGACAGACACTCTGTCCCTCTCACTTGCTATTTCGGCATGCTCGGTGTGAAGGGGCAGGGCTTTGGGGTGTTTCTGAAGAGGTAAGCGTGGGGCAGGCTCTATTCCCTCAGGCAGAGCAGAATGTAGCAGCCTGCCTGCTTAGTGAATTGTTCCATTGTTCTTAGTGAATTCCCCCAGGAGTATAAAACAGGAGTGAAAATTTTAAGGCTCTTTTACATTGCCAGAGTGGTGTAAAGGAGCCTTATTGTAAACAACAGTATGGCCCTATAAATGCTTATGGTGCTTTAGTGATTAGAACTGGTCTAAATTTTTGGACTGAAAAAAAAAATCCTATCAAAATGTGCTCCATGAACTGTTTGCTACTGACCTTTTTGGAGATAGTCAATAGCCAGTATAAATTGTGAATTTGAGTCCCCAGCCCTCACTTGCTCTTCAGTTTCCTATGATGCAACACTGAGCATATGGCTGCATTTTTTGTTGTCTAATAACCGGAAGTAAAGGGTCAATATTAGCTACATTACTATTAGACAAAGCGGGTTTGGTGATTTCCTCCAATGCTCCCCACTCCCATTCTCCGTCCATTGTATTGTAGTTTAAATAAATTACCAAAATAATTGAAACCAGCTTGATTATATAGTTATTTTTACAAAAAAAATACGCAGAATTTTAATAATACTGTGCACAGAATTTTTAATTTTTTGGGGACCAAATTCCCCCAGGAGTAAGTTTCAAACAGTCTCTCTCTGGGCACAGCTCCTCTCTTCTGAGGGCTGTCTTCAATTTTCTCCAGATAGTCTCTCTAGCTGTTCCCCCCACTCTCTCCTCTTTAGAGTCATGGAGTTACCCAGGTGCCCTATCCTGAGTCTGTAGTCTCTCTAAACTTTCAGGCTGCTCCTTGGAGGCTTACCAGACTGCTTCTCTCAGAAACTCAGCCCGAGCTCTCCAGCTGGGGTCCTGGCTGTCTCCAGCAGCACTCTGTCATTGCTCCTGACTGTTCTGAGTTCCTCTCAACGCTGTTTATATAGTCCTTCCTAATTCCCTCCCTGCAACTGGGGTCAATTATAAGTAAGTCCTCTTTTACTTATAATTACTACCTTGTCAGTTAGTGGATGGTTTATGATCTAAGCCAGTGGTTTTCAAGCTTTTTTCATTTGTGGACCCCTAAAAAATTTCAAATGGAGGTGCAGACCCTTTGGAAGTCTCAGACATAGTCTGAAGACCCCCCTGGGGTCTGTGGACCACAGGTTGAAAACCACCGCTCTAAATCAACAGGGTATGATATTCCTTATGTTTTGTTTCTTATCCTATCTAATGTAACTGTAGATGTGTTCATTATCTATGTAACTGTCTACTCCTTTTCTGACTCTTACTAAGCTCTTGGACTCAGTAATAACTAATTACAGGAGCTCCATAGGTTATGTATTATGTGAGTGCCCCACAAAAAAACCCAAGACCAAAATCATAGACACGTCCTTATTTGTTTTATCAGTTATAAATTTGTTGGTTTATAGTTTTATCAAATGTCCCCTTGTTCTTGCATTATAAGAGAGGGTAAATACGATTTACTTTCTTGTTACTATGTGTTATTTTATGCACCTGTATCATGTTTCCACTCATTTACCTCATCTCCTAACGGTCAATCTTCTTTTCAATCTCTTTCTTAATACAGCAGTCTTTCCATACCTCTAATCAATCTCGTGGTTCATCCCTAAATCTCCTCTATTTCTGCCAATGTCCCTTCAAAGACAGGTGATAAGAATCCAACGTAGTATCCCATATGAGCACAATCAGAGCTAATCAAAAGAGTTCACTTTTTTTGCAAAATATTTATTAAAATTCAAAACAATTTTCATTCCAGTTTTTGAACAGGAACAATTTTTAATGTATTCAAATTTTTTCATGAACGTTTTTATTCAAAAATTCTTTTTTGTTTTCCTGAAAAAAACAAACCTGTTTTTAGTTTGGACATTTTCATTTAAAGACAGAAAATTTTGAAAAACCCCAAATTTCCAATAAAAGACCATTTTTGATGAAAAAATTTCATTAGAAAAATTCTGAACAGCATTAATTATATTTTTAGTATAATCTTCTGTCCCACTCTTTTTGTATCCTAACATTTTGTTTGCTTTCTTCACTGTCACTGTGTACTGAGTAACCGTTGAGCTATCTGCCATCACACTGGCCATTTTTTTGTGTCATGTACAAATTTTGCTAGCTCATTGCTTACCTGCTTTCCAGACCATAAACAATACCAAACCTAGTATGGAACCTCAAGGTACCTGACTGTTAACCTTTTGCCACTTTGAAAATTGACCATTCATCCCCAACTCCTTGATTGTCTTTTTGACAGTTTCTAATCTAAGCAGAACTTTCTCTCTCACCTCATGTCTAGACACTGATAACTTTCTGAAACATTTACCTTTGGACCTGAAACAATTTTCCGACAGGACTCTAACCTGATGGTGACTTTACGTGTGAGAGAGATAGTTTGAGCACACAAAGTGCAGCTGATTTTGTAAATGAGAGAAAAAAATTCATTTCTCAAAGAAATTACAGCTCCTTTTTTCTGAATCTCTCTAGTGCTGAAACAATGAGGCATTTAAATGTGGCCTATAACTAGCCATCAGAGCATCCTGGTGAAATTTGGTCTTGATTTGATTGAATTAAACAAAGCCCCCATGTAATCTACTGTGATCTGGACCTAAATTTTGCAGAAAGGTTCTGCTGCACTCTGGAGGAAATTCTCAAAATTCTGCACAAGCTTCAGAGAATTTTTTAAATGGATGATTTTATTGAGCTAAATATGAAAATGGATAACAATACAGTAGCCCCATGTTATTTACTATGGTATAGTCACACTGTATTGTGTGCTGTCCTTACATATTCAGTTTATTATACACCACAGATTGTCATCTTTAAGTTAACAATCCATTTAGCTGGACAGAGCAGTTCATGTTTCTCGGGGCTATTGTTATAGGCTGTCTGCAAACAAGCAGAGATCATTGCAGTACATTACATTTTCAAGGCTTTCTTCACAACCACAAAGGCCAGAAACATTATATTTAAAAAAAAAAAAAAAGCCAAAAGCTCAGATTCTGGAGCACAATTCTGTGACAAGCTTTGCTGCTATGAAAAATCAGAATAATAGGTCCCTAATTACAACCTTTAAAAATGCAGGTTATGCACAGTACTTTCTGCACAGGGTTTGTCACAGAGCTCAGCAAAGGAAGGCAGCACTCTGGCTAATTTAGCTGGCCAGTGAAAGTGTAGGGAAGGCTAAGCATACCTGGAAAGGTTCAAGGCATGGGAGCTCTGCTCTTATTCACCTGAGTCGTTCCTAAGACATACAGGAATGAAGCTCCCTCCTGTGGGCTTTCTATGGTGCTTTAGAAGGATGTTCCAAGCAGTGTCCAACTAAATAGTTTCAGATTACAAGATTTTCTCATGCTCTTGCCAATCAGTTGCAGCCAGCACAGCTTCAAAATTTGAATTTATTCTTTATGGTTTTTCTAGCCTCTTTGTTACATGAATCTCAATTGTTACTTGTAACAATGTAGGTTAATTTTCAGACAGAAGTGTGATTTTTAATTGGTTTCCCCATAAACTCTTTGCCCCTGCCTTCAAGGCCAACACAACTCCAATATGGCCTATATCTCATATCTTGACTCATGCATACCTTCCATAACTCCTACCCTGCAATACCGCCAAGACCTGAAATTGCATTTGTTTTTTATTCTCTCTCTCCAATCCCCATGCCTTTTCCAGGTTGTTCCTTATTTAGGTAATGACCTGCCAAACTCAACTGAGTCAGTCACCAATCCTTCCTCATTCAAACTGTCTCCAGATTTACTCTTTCCATGATGTCTAGAAGTAGTGAGTTAAATGTGTTTATATATAAAGATAACCCCAACTCTAAGTTACTCCCTTCTCCAAGGTGTCCAATGCATCCTGTCTTCTTTATGTCTGTCTTTTAAATTGTAGGTTCTCTGGGGCAAGGATTGTCTTTCCAAGTCTTATACAGCACTAAGCACACAGTTGTGACAAACAATCAATAAATATACTGGTCCATGAAGACAATAAAATTAGAGTAAGCATAAAAGAATGAAAAAATACTACAAGATGCTATGCTACACACTCTTACCCAAGGCTGTTGAACTACTGTATGTTGTTTTATTGTATTATTTGAGAAAAGTCTACGATAATGTAATTAGATTATTTAAATGTAGTTGTACAAGGGAGAAAAGACAAAAGTAGGGGGTTACATGCAACCTTAACTCTGGCATTTTCTGCATTTACTGATATTGCTGATGGAGTATCTGTGTATAAATAAACAAATTTCCACCATAAAGAATTTATTATTCATACTGTGGTAACAGCTAGAGACCTCAACCAGTCTGGGATCATGAGCTAGCCACTGTACCAATATACAGCAAGTGATAACCTCTGCCTTAAAAAGCTATTTAGACCCCAGTTTTATCTTTCTTGTAAAGCAGACGCACCTTATTACAGGAGATTGTGATTCCAACACTAGATATGGTGGACTTTGTCTCAAACCAATCAACCAGCCAAGTACATGGATAATGGTGTCTGGGGTTACATACCAGGCAAGTAGAGAAAATAACTCACTGAATGCCTTCCCAATTAGTATAACTGTAGTGGGACGAGCAGCAGCAGGAGAGAGAGCATGATTCCAGGAAGTTTAGAAACTTCACCCTTATTTATTTATCCCTTTGTGGGCGTAAATTCCTCCCAGCTCTCTAATTCACAAACTTCACCACACACATAGATGCTCTGCTGCCCGGAGGGACGGGACTTCTTGGAATTTCCCTATCAACATTAATGAGACCCTAAAAACCAGACTTTAGTGCAACTTACCATTATTTTTTTCACTATCAGCTGGTTTCATCTGGATGGGATGGTGCATCTGAAACCCAAAGAAGAGCATTTCAAACTTGATACATTCACTCTGTGCCTAGCTGAGTCACATTACCCCACAAGGAACACTTGGAGGGGAGCCAACACAGCCATTAGAGAAGGGTGAGACATAACCCCACAGAAATTTCTAGGAAAGGATCCCAGGGAGTGTTTCCTATATCTTTCATATTGATATGCCCCCATTCCCCCTGGGTACCTCAGGGTGTTCCCCAGATGCAGCGCACACAATTCCCTGCCATCCCTTTCCCCTCAAAACCTCTTGAAAATTCCTTAGAGATCTGCTGCCATGACTTGCAGTTCAAGGCCCCTCCCTCTGAAGTCATGTTCTAAAATAATCATGCAGAAGAGCATGGCAATGTTTGTGCATCAGTGAAGCCAAAGAGCTCAGAACATGGGTAAATGGCAGGACAGAAAGATAAGCAAAAGAGATGCTTGAAAGAGCATGATGCCTCTTACCCCTGGGAGGATCTTCATGTTGTGGAGAGCATTCTGTGCTTCTAGTGCAGCTTTACGGGTATAAAATGTAACAAAACAGCACCCTGCAATGCAAACCCAAAACAAGCAAATCAAGGATATTCAATTCCTGTGTGACATACTGGGATACACAGTGCACCACTTCTACCCCTCAAACACAAACTCTTTGATAGGCACGAGTATCATGGATGGAAACAGAAGGCAATAGCTTAATACTGAATCTATTTAGAATAGGACTTCTGTCAAAATAAGTATAATATAACATGTGATGTCTTCAATGACTAGGCCCAACAGTCCCTGTATCACACTCAAAGGTTCGTAAGAGCTCTCCTCTCATCCCAACTGGGCTTGCCCAACAATACTTTTCTAGAGACATTCTCATTTTTCCAGTAAGCAGGGTATTTTTCTGCCAGTGCAAGTAATTGTTCAATACTGTCATTGCCACTCTCAAAGATACCTAGCCCAGTGAGGACTAACTCTTGGCATCACCAGGGCTGAGCCTTCTCTATACAGATTTTTAAATGCTCCACTTAGCATTGTGGACAAATGATGAATATTCTCTTTGCCCACTTAATCAGGCTCCAGTCTTGGGCATAAACTCTTGAGATGGAATTTGTCTCCACTAGATGGGCTTAGAACTACAGTTCTCAAATGACTGTAGTTATTTATACAAAAAGTTACAACTCCAAAACATAACCAATAACGCATGATGCCCCACAGGCTTTTTGTCTATAAAAGTGGATATAGTTACAAATAGGATAGTTATTAAGCACAGACAATAGAGCAGTCCTTAGCCTCTACTATTTCTGTCTCCCCGAATGCAGCTTGCAGACTACAGAATCATAGAAGTTAGAGATAGAAAAAAACCTATACGTTTTTCTAGTCTGTTCATTCCTCCTGCTTCAAGCCCCTGGGACAGTGCAGAATTGCTGGTCTGTGTGAAGTGTGTTCTCCCTTACTCCAATTCCTTTCTCTCTCTTCCCTTGTCTTCCCATCAGCACAGGCTCTGGGTGGCATTTGTGATTTAGGACCTGGCCACCTCCGTTTCCAAACCTACAACTCTATCCCCTTTCTGTGCAGACTAGAAAGAAATTGCCTGTACTCCTGTGAGAGCATGTGTTAAAGCGTAGGTTGCTGTATTCTGTTTTGCTAGTCTCAAACAGGTAGCTACTCTAGGGGATGGATATAAGAATCAGAAGTTAAAGACGAAGAAGCGCTACTATTAAGTTTCTTCTCCAGTCCCCAGGAGCCAAGACAGGATTGTTCACTATTTGTTCAGTTTAATTTTAAACATCAACAGCAATTAGGCTCTCGCCACTTCCCAAAGGTGACATTTCTGCAACCTAATAGATCTCTACAAGGAAGTTTTTATTGATACTCGGCAAAATTTACCCTTTCAAGAAATTTACCAGAAATATTAAATAAAATGCATATATTAGTCACATGTAAACATCTCATAGCAAATCCCCTCTCTCACAAGCCAAGTGAAAAATGCTTATGGTAGACTACTTAGTTGGCATATACAAAGCATATCTGTGAACTGCACTTTCTGAACTTTCCTTCTCAAAGTGCTTTACAAACTGTCGTTACAGGCATGACTCACCACCTCTGAAATGGAGCTACCCCTGGGTTGAAACATAGCAGTTGTTTGACAGTGCACAGAAAGTCTACAAAACAGTTAAGATAGGAAGAGAAACATATTGTATCCAACTGAACTGCAGGAGAATGTAATTACTTGATATGAAATTTAACGAGGATATTGGGGTTAGCAACCTCTTAAAAGAGTTCTATGCGATTTTCAGCTGGCTCAGATGACCAAGACTTGTTTTGAATCTCATCCAAAATATTACACCTCCAATATTACAGTCCTTCAGAAGAGAAATCTAAACCTAACAAATAGGCTACATATCTTGGACACCCATTTCCCTTGGTGGTCTCCCATTTGTCTGACCACCCTAGCCCAATTTACACAATGCGATCACAGTACAGCTACATATGAATGCAGAAGCACTTATAGAGCACAAAGGTCAGGTCTGTGTGTGTGTATATATTCATACATCTACAGTTAACTCCTTGGCATGTGAATAAGGAGAGAGATGAAGCATGACAGAGTGCAAGTGACGATAGCTGGGAACCCAAGTATCAGCTGAGAAGGATAGAAGTGCTCACCTTTGCTCTGAGGAGGGTTTTGGCTCCTGTCCCTCAGGACGTTAATTTCGTAGACAGCACCATACTGTTCAAAGAGTTCTCTCAGATCCTTCTCACACCAGCTCCGTGGAACCTGCCCCACAAACATCTTGATGGCATCTAGGTCAGGTTGATCTGGGTGATCCAGTGTGCCATTCATTTTCTTTGAGCTGCACAGGACAGGGAGGAACTTCTGTTACATCATCACCAACAACCTGTCTAGATTAATCCTTCTCCCTAGGTACCAACTAATGTTGCAGCTCCAAACAGCCTGCTTATGATGCTGTGGAAAAAGGTCTCTCAACAGCAGTATTTTAAAAGGACTCCTGCACACTCCAAGCAAACTAAGAGAACGTTTAGATTTAGCCATCACTCTCACTATAGAGCTCTGAGCTTGGAGACTGTCTCTCCCCTCCTAGCTCCTACAACAGGGATCGGCAACCTTTAGCACCGTGGTGGGCCGCACTGGTTTGTTTACCTGCCGCGTCTGCAGGTTCGGCCGATCACAGGCCAATGGGGGCTGCGGGAAGCGGCGCGGGCCGAGGGATGTGCTGGCCGCTGCGTGCCAAAGGTTGCTGATCCCTGCCATACAGTATAATCAGCCACCTGGATTTGGGACACCAAAGTCTTTTGTGTAAAAGACTGAAATGTCATTGCCCATCACTGCGGAACTGGACACAAGGAAAAACTGGAGTGGGAAGGAGCCAAAAACCTGGTATTATTAGCAAACCTACTAACAAACTATAAAAATGATTGAGGAGCAAAATTTTTATTTAAAAACAGGTCCCTCTTAACCTAAGGAAAAGTGACTAGAATGAAGACACTAGAAGTTCCATAAGAGGTTCACATTACAGTAAGCTTCTCATGGGTCCAGAGAACTCTTAACAAAATTCTGGGGAAAAGACAAGGTCACGGTCGTGGCTGAAAATGAACACATTGGTCTTGTACACTATTTGGTCCCAGAGGATGATCAGGATTGATTTATCATTAATCTTGAAGTACCATCATTCTGAGAAAACTAACGGAATAGTACTGGGGGCCCAATTAGGGAGGAGAAATCATTTATCAGAATACTGTAAACAAGATTTTGAATATGGGGGTCTTCAACAGGCTTCTAGGTCATCTCTCAAACAGCGCCCAGCAACTGATGATCCCACACAACAATCTGCATTGGCTCCTTATTGTTTAGCTAGTGCAAGATGAGTCTTACTATTAGTATCAAAGACCTTAAATAATACAGGGTCAGTTGCTTTGGGAGACTGCCTGAAATGATATCCTGCTACAGCAGTGGATATTAGCATGGTGAAACTGCTAACAATCCCTATGTATAATCTAGAAGGGTGAGGGGAGAGGGGCCAGTGACTATGGAATGATTCCCTCCTCCCTCCCTCGCCTTCCAGGCCAGTCTTCTTATTTTAGTTTTTTTGTTGTCCTCTTTATTTACTGTACATTAAGGAAGATAGGTGTTTATCACCTTGGACTTATTTGTGGTCATGTTCTTCCACAGTGTTTATTAAGAAGTCTTTAAGCATAGGAATTTTTAAAAACAAAATTACCAGTCAAGTTCCATTAAATGTGGACTGGATATTTATTGTGTGTATTCTGGCATCTCTTTCAACTTGCCAGGTTCAGACACATAGGAAGACAACTGTTGCCATAAAGTGCTCCCACATTCTAAGAAGGGTTTGCACAAGGATGGGAAGCATAAGGCTCTTTACTGGGAAAAGGAAAGGGGGGTGACATAATGCCTTTCACGCCACCAGAACTCCCACTGCAAGGGATTAATGCCTTTCAAAGAATCCAGAAAACCCAACTCATTTTATTAAGGGGTGAACTACACAATGCTTGAATTCTGAGGGGGAGCAACTGATAGGTATACATTATCCTGTGGCAGTTGGTCCCAGCTCTGGTGTCACTCCCATGAGAAGCTCCAAGAGGGCAAAAACAACAAGGAGTACTTGTGGCACCTTAGAGACTAACAGCATGTCTCCTGGTAGCTAAATCCACATGGTCACCATATGACCTTAGAAACAGTTCAAAGATCATTCAATTCCTGTCTAAAAGAGGGCAGTCCAAAGCCATTCAGAAGGAAGGAATCTTAGTCTCCTAACACTGCACTTCAGCCACTGGTTTCAGAGCATCAGTACAGTGACTTCTCCTGGATTCTGTAAGGCGTGCCACCAAGTAACTCTAACCCAAAGGGGTTAACTGATTTAAGAGGGAATGAAAATGTGTTCTGAGCAGGAGAAAAATCAACTGTAAACTAACTTCCAGGATTTCTTTTAGAATTCAGCTCTGAGACTCTCCTGCCCTTTCACCTTTTCCTCCAAGGGGAGTACATTAGATAGCAAAGAAACTTCCAAAGAGGCAATTCCAAGCTAAGAGCATTAGCAAAAAAGCAGATATGAAGATACAAAATACTTACACAGGACTGGCATTCAAGGAACAATGGTCCACCATCATCTCTGGGAGGAAATCCAACTTAAACGCAGCCATCACTTCTGTCTGTCACAAACCACTAACACTAAGTCCACGTACTGTCTAACCCACAAATAAAACCTCCACTTCCTAAAGTCCTGCAGGTCTTAACACACCAAGCCACACAAAAAACACTCAAATCACAGAAACAGGAGCTCAGGGAGACCAGCAATAGACATCAGAGAAATAGGCTGGACTGGAAAAGGGACATGGAGTCGTAGATTAAAAGGGGGATGTGACCATGTGAAGAGAGGCTCAGCTCACTACACAATGAAAGTGCTGATGCATTGGGCTGTTTTGTGCAATTTTCCCTGGCGAAGCAGGACTGAGTGCTCTGTCAGATAAACAGAGTGTCAGATCAATGAAGATAGCAGTGGTTGACAGAGCAGAAGGAACACAAACTCTAACCTCACAGACCCCAACAAACTCTTCACCCCCAAAAATGCCAGCCCTAGGCCTTGAGGTCCACTAATAGATAGGTGCTGGAACAGAGTCTTGGTTCAGGACCAGAGTGTTGATACCTCACGGGGTCAACACAAATCAAGGTGTGGCTGCTATCTTTTGCCATAATGAGTTCTAGTAGCTTGCTGCTACAAGGAGGGTTGACCACTCAAAACCTTCTTATCTATGAAGGAGTGCCTGCTCTGATTACTCTCCCTCTATTATGGGCCAAAACACATGATGTCTCACACAATAAAAATAAATACTTTGCAAATACATACAGAGTACATGAAATGTGAGGGCAAGAACAGGAGAAAGTGTCTAGTGGTCATTGCAGGGAACAGAGACAACACTCTTGGATTCTATACTGACCAATGCTATGGATTCATTGAGTCATTTTGGTAAAGTCAGTTGATCATGGTGCACCAGTTTCCTTATAATTAAAAAAAAAGGACAATACATGCTGACCTACTGAGGTTAAGAAGTTTATATGTTTGTAATGCGCTTTGAGATCCTGGAGAGAAAGATGTTACAGATATGCACAGAACTACTACAAATAGGAAGACAAAGGAGCTCAGCAGTGAACATACTAGGAAAACCAACCAATACTAACTTGAATGGAAACAACATTTAAAACCAAGTGTTCACCAATATTACACAAGAAATAGTTGCACTCCATTACTGTGTTAACAGCTGTCCCCCACCACCTTGCAAGAATCACATCCCACTCGCTACCTCTGTGAAATGATGAAAAAAGAACTGGTCTCAGATACATCCGTTTCTTAGTTTGGGAACTGCAGACTTCACATTACCTTACATTCAAACATCACCTCAGCTTAGAATCCTGCCAAAACTGCTCTCTAAAGTTTGCCCCACTTTTGGGACCAGGAAGCTCTGCAGAAAATAATGTGGTTACACAAGGGGAAGATGTAGTGGTGATTCTTTCCAAGGTTTATGTAGTTCTGTAGCATTGCATTGCAGACTCCAGGTCTTACCAGCCGAGGGATAGCAGAACACCATCATAACAAAATACTTCCATCCAGCCTTCCCAAGCAGTGCTGCCTGGCCTTACAGTTGAGTGCAGAATGGAGAGGAGCTGTTCTGGCAACAGATTCTCCTGGAAGATTGATTTTACAAGGGGTACTGAGATTACGGAGAACATTTCACAGGAGGAGTTTGATAATTATTATGGGTGACTCCTTCCATGCTTTCCTACTCTTCTTTCCCTAAAGAAAGGCTGGCTTCATTCTATTGAACATAAAACAGATAACAGTTTAAAGGCAAATTAGTTTGAAATCCCTTCATTGGCTCCCTAAAGATTTCCTTGTCAAGTTCAGATTTTTTTGGTCTTACCTTCCAAGCTTTACACAATTCTGCTTCTCCCTATGTGCCAGGTCTAACTCTCTTTACTCTCACTCACACCTTTCAATCCACCCAAATCTCCCTCCCTAGTATTCCTCTTCCACTCTCAAACCTGGTCTACACTATGAATTACGTCAACCTAAGTTGATCTGCATCAACCTAGTTGTGCATGTATATACAGTACACCAAAATTTGTCTCTCACTGATGTAAGCACCCGGTTACAGCAAAACGGTAACAACTCCTCCCTGAGCAACACACAACCATGGTCAACCTACTTAGGTCAATGCAGGACAAGTGTAGACACTACATTACTTGTGTCAACACTAACAGTCCAGCAGCAACTATCTCACAATGTCCCTGTGACAGGGACCACACAGGTCACAAATTTGATCTCCACTGCCCAGCGGTCACAGAGACCAGAAGATTGCCCCACCACCAACCTTTAAAACCCCTCGTTTTTGAAATGCCTTTTCCTGATTGCCCACCTTGGTGAGCACACCTACCGGCTCACCTTTGTTGTGTGTATCCGATCATGTCAGCTCCATGCACACACAGAGCTAATACATATGCTCCTGCCTGGAGCAGGCAAAAAGTCCTGGATATCCTCATTCTGTGGGGGAAAAGAGGCTGTGCAAGGACAGCTATGGAACAGCCACAGAAATATCAACATCTACTTGCATATTGCACATGGGATGCTGAAACTCGGGCATTACAGGGATGAGCAACAGTGCTGCATGAAAGCAAAAGAACTTCACCTGGCATGCCAGAATGTAAGGGAGGGCAACAAGAAATCTGCTGCTGCTCCATAGATCTGCCACGTCTGCAACGAACAGCATGTCATAATTGGAAGTGATCCCACCAGCACCCCACTTTCCACTCTGGACACTTCTCAGGAACCCGAAGGAGAGACCCCCCAGACAGCAAGGTGAGTGAGGAGGCGCTGTGCGGGACTCAAACCATGCCACAAGCTGTCTGAAACTCTGCCAGAGACAAGCCAGTTCTGTCAGATTAACGTAGATGAGCCTGCTGATGAAGGGGAAGGGAGCTCGGGTAAGTGTGTACATGCATTATTCCTGATAATCATTTTTTCCTTTTTCGGTGCCTGAAACCTCACCTCTCCTGCCCTTCTTCCCCATTTAAAAATTGCACCCATCCCATATGCATGGTTAGAGAACAAAGGCATTGATTTCTGATTGCTTACTTTAATGGTATAATGTTATAAAATAAAATATTAAGAGAATAAATTAAAAAAAGCAGTATGACAGTCCAATTATACCATCCATATCGGATCAGTGTCTCGTGATCGGGTAGAGGTAGAACAGACAGAGGTAGAGTTGCATCCGCTTTTAAATTCTTTGGTTTCTGGGGCTAGGCAGAGGGAGCCATGCAAAGCACTTTGTTTATCTGAATAGGGATGTTCCTTTTATCCTCTTGAGCGATCTCAATGGAAATTTCATGGAGATACTCTGCAATCCTCTCCTGAATTTCTAGGTGTGGCAGCCTTGTTTCTCCCCTTGTGATATGAAACTTTCCCTTGCCACTCTGCAATGAGTTTGGCTGGCACCACTGCAGTAAACAGGCTAGTAGGATTAGGGCCCAGGTGGCTTCAGGATGCCAGTTCACTGTGCCTTTGTCACCCTCAGGAATTGGATATCAGCCAAAATCACCACTGCCTGTGAAAATATTGCCTATATATGGAGATATACCTGTCTCATAGTACTTGAAGGGACCCTGAAAGGTCATCGAGTCCAGCCCCCTGCCTTCACTAGCAGGACCAAGTACAGATTTTTTGCCCCAGATCCTTAAGTGGCCCCCTCAAGGACTGAACTCACAACCCTGGGTTTAGCAGGCCAATGCTCAAACCACTGAGCTATCCCTCCCCCCTGAGCCAATATTGCCAATATTCACTGCACTTTTCCTATACCTATACCCAGGGGTCCCCAGGGTTTAAAGCTTCCATGGAGCAGAATTCACTCCTGCTCCACACTAGGGTAGGCCATATTCACCATAGTTTGAATTCCAAAGCTAAAGTGACAATTAGCGTTTCTTATTAAAGGTATTTATGGGAATAATGTAATGGAGTTTTGAATCTTTCCCTTTCCATTGTGACTGTAAATCAAATGGTGTGTCTGTCTGCTTTAATCACCCCTCCAGGCCTGCTGAATGTCTGACAGAGATCAGGAAGAGAAAGAAGAGGTGTAGGGAGGATATGTTCTGCAAGATCCTCCAACCCTCTATGGCCTTGGACCATAAACACAGGCCATCGAGGGGCCACAGGACTATGACTATAGGGAAGGGCCAAGAATAGAGAGAGCAGTTGCTGCAGCAGAGGGCAAGCATGAGCATCAAGAAATGCACCAGGGCATCATGGGTTTGCTCAGGCAACAAATTCAGATGCTGTAGAGCAGTATCGACACAAACATTCCAATCCTTGGAAAACTCCATGGTCAGTGCACCCTACACTCCCCAACACAACAAGTGGCAGCATGATGTACATCCTTACCCCTACCAAGCCACATCAAGAGAAAACAAGAACCAGAGCAACACATATACTGACATGCAAAAACCACAGGATCAGCCACAACTTACTACACTGTAATAAGTTTTACATACGTGAATATGAATGTTCACTGTTTACTTCCATTTATACTTTAGGTTTTAAAGTATGGTTAAGCCCCTTCGTTTTCAGTTTAAACAGATCTTTACCGAAAAGTTCCCAGGTTTTACAAAAAGTGTTATTCAGTTTTTTCCTGATTTTCATCCTACTTTTGTAGGATTCAAATATATAAAAAAAAATAACTTGTTTCATTAGGAAAATACAATACATTGCATGAGACATATGGATTACAAGAATACATTAGTCTGTGCGTATATGCAAAGCTGCCTGTTGAAGTAAGGCCATTATTAATCTAGAAGATACACACAATAAACAAACAGGCATGTACGCAAGCTCTGAAGTGCGTATACATCTGAACGTACTGATGAATTTCACGCCTACCATGTACACATTTCAAGCTGCTGGCAGATAACTGTTTAAAGATTTGACACACTAAAATGGGAAGAAAATGAAAATCTGTATCAGAATATGTTTCTGAACACAAGTATTCAAAAGTTTTAAAAAAACAAAAGCAGGAGAAAAGGATGAAGTTGAGTGTATGCGTTGCAAATGGTGTGGCCGAATTATTAAATGTAAATATTTATAGACTAATAGTTCTAAGTCTACAACCAGGGCTTTGGAGCTGTGCTCCAGCTCTGTTCCAGCTCCAGGCAAAAACCTGCAGCTCCACTGCTCTGAACTCCAGCTCCACGCTCCGTTACAAAGCCCTGTCTACAACAGTAAACTGTTTATTGAAATGAAAAGTTTTATTTGGGAATTAGAGATATATTTTCTTAAACTCAGAGGTGGCATTGTGTTTTGAGTTCTGTTTTAGTTTTGCAGCAAACCACATTGATGAACGGAATTCTAAGCATTAATCTACTGAATACCTTTTCCTCTTGGTCTTTCCGTCCACCAAAATAAA